GTCAACCACTCAGAGGGGGAATCTATGTAGAAGACTCTGCAGAGAGTGGGAGAACAATGTGGAACAAAACTCAAAATCATTTGAAAAAAAAAAAAAAAGGGACCAGGTTTGCTGGTCTCATAGAGCCTGATGGAACCACTGAGACTACGGCCCCTAGCTGCCCTTCAGGTCTGGAATTGAACTCACTCCTGTGGCTTCCAGCCAAACAAAAGACAGCCATATGAGCTGAACATTTACACTAGGTAGAAATACTCCTTGGAGAGAACAATCAGGGTAGTAGGGCTGTGTACGCACAGGGAGGTAGCTCAGGGAGCAGGAGTGCATGGAGAGAAGGGCACAGGAAAGAGGTAACTATGGGAAGGAAGTGGGAGGGGAGCTGTTACATTGTGGTAAATTGTAGTCGATGTCATGAGACAAAGTGTATATGAACCGTTGTATGGAAAGTGAATTTGCTCTGTAAACTTTCACCCAAATCACAATTTTAAAAAAACTACTTATCCTTCCAGTTTTCTCTATCTCAGGCAACAATTCCACCACTCACTTAGTTGGGGCAAGCCAAAAGGTGGGAGTCAACCTAGGGACTTATTTCTCCCATTCACATCAATCTTACCTACTATGCTCCTAACTAAATCTGGTGTTTTGAATCTCACTACCATCAAGAGAGAGGAGCTGGAGACAAAATAGTGTGTCCTTGGACCTGAGATCCCTGTACTGGACTTCCTTGGCAGAGATGCCCAGCAGAGACAAGCATGGTAGAGGGACACCCTGGCAGAGGGATGCCCCAGCAGTGGAACAAAGAGGCAGGAGATAAAGCATTGGGCTTACCTGGCCTATGGAGTGAGGAAGTCGAGTGCCCTTGGGCAGGAGGCTTGGTGGCAGAGTGGGGTGCACCTGTTGTTGTTGTTGTTATGTGCTGTCGAGTCAGACCGAACTCATAGCGACCCATCCTTGGGTTTCTGAGGTGGTATCACTACGGAAGTAGATTGCCCAACCTTCCTTCCAAGGAGTGGCTGGTGGGTTTGAACCGTCAGCCTTCTGGTTAGCAGTCAAGTGCCTTAGGCACTACACTACCAGAGCTCCCATGGGGTGCACCTAAGTGTACCTACTGGCAGAGCTAAAAGAGCTCTTTAACATTTGCCCCAGGAGGGCAGAGGCCAGGCCAAGAGGCCAAGGACCAGAGAGATGTGTCTGAGGTCACTTCCCCAAGGAAACTGTCTAGTTTCCAAACTAGGCCAGGACCCAAGTTTTATGTACTAAGAGCACACCGTAGTTCTCCTTCCAGAATTTAAAAATTATAATGCAGTAACTGAATAATTAAGGAGCTCTGGTAGTATAGTGGGTAAGACATTTGGCCACTGACCAGAAGATCAGTAGTTCAAACCTCCCAGCTGCTTTGCAGATGGAACATGACTTTACTTCTGTAAAGATTTACAGCCTTGGAAACCCAATGGGGGTCACTATGAGTTGGACTCAAATGGATGGCACTGGGTGTTTGGTTTAACTGTATAATTATACATGAATATGTCTGTAACCCTCTTTAAGCTATAAGGTCCAAAAGTGTTGAGATCTTATCAGTTGCTTTTGCCATTGTATTTCTTGTGTATTCCAGACTTAACCTAGTGTCTAGCTAGCAAAGTAGACCCTCAAATTTTATTTGCTAAATAAATGATGGTTCCAGCCCTCAAGTTTAGCATTGTAGAGAAAATCAACACATATGCAAATGAGGACAATACAGTGTCACTGATGTTAAAGCAGTTTATTTACAAGTTTTCAACTGGGATTGATTTTGCCTCTCCTTGGAGACATCTGGCAATATCTGGAGACATTTTTGATTGTCACAAATGCAGGGGGGTGTGTGTGCAACCAGCATCTAGTGAACAGAAGCTAGGAATGCCGCTAAACAAGCTACAGCACACAGGACAGCCCCCCACAACAAAGAATTTTCAGGTCCAAAATGTCAATAGTACCATGGTTAAGAAACCATGATTTATAGAATTTAATAGTATCTTAGGAGTCCTGGTGGTGCAGTGGTTAAAGCGCTCACCTGCGAACTGAAAGGTCAACAATTTGAATTCACAAGCCCCCTTCACTGGAGAAAGGTATAGTACTCTGCTCCTGTAAATATTACAACCTTGGAAACACTATGAGGCAGTTCTACTCTGACCTATATGGTCACCAGAGTCAGAATTGACTCAACAGCAATGGGTTTCAGTTGGTTTGAGTATCAATTAACTTAATCTATGTCCTGACCAAATAATCTGAGAAGCTAAAGTATACGAAGAAGAACGTAGCATCAGGAGTAAAGAAAGACTCATTAACAACCTGTGATACGCAGATGACACAAACTTGTCTGCCAAAAATGAAGACAACTTGAAGCACTTACTGATGAAGGGAAAAGATCAAAGCCTTCAATATGGATTACACCTGAATGTAAAGAAAACAATCCTAAAAAAAAAAAAGAAAACAATCCTCACAACTGGACCAATAAACAACATCATGATAAATAGAAAAAAAAAAATGGAAGTTGTCAATAATTTCATTCTACTTGGATCAATAATCGATGCCCCTAGAAGCAGCAGTCTAGAAATCAACAAACATATTCTATTGGGAAAATCCACTACAAAAGATCTCTTTAAAGTTCTAAAAATAAAAGATGTCATTTTGATGACTAAAGTGTACTTGATCTAATCCATAGTGTTTTCAATAGTCCCATCTGCAGGCAAAAGCTAGACAATGAAAAAAGAAAACATGAATGTGAATTGTGGTGTTGGCAAAGAGCACTGAATATACCATGGACTGCAAGAACAATAAACAAATCTGTCTTAGAAAGAGATACAACCGGAATGCTCCTTAGAAGCAAGGATGGTGAAACATCGTTTTGCTTACTTTGGACATGTCATCAGGAAAGACCAATTGCTAGATTTTTGGTAAAAATCAATGGCTAGATTTCTGGTAAAGTAGATGATGAGCAAAAAAATGAGGAAAACCCTCAATGAGATGGACACAACAGCCTCAACAGTGGGCTCAAACATATAAAAGACATGAAGATGGCCCAGGCGTTGGTAACATTTTATTGTTATATATAATGTCACAAGAAGTTAGAGTCCACTGAACAACAACTAACAACAAAGATACCCAAATGGAGAGGGTAAACAATACTCTTCTGGCAGTAAGGTTTTAGGGACAGAGTAAGAAAATCTTGAGACAAAATAAAACTTTAGCTGTGTGATGAAAAGTGGCAGACGCCAGATCAATGTGTACTATGCCATACAAGAAGGAGCCTCTGAAGAGTTAAAAGCAGTTGTGGCCTGCAGAGGTGCCTCCCTCAAGCACCCCATACTCCAAAATTACTCATCTCCTTTATTCCCTCATTGCTGAAACAAAACTTCTATTCTCTCAGGGCAGCTGATTTCAGCTAAACATTAAGGCCAAATTAATTCAGACCAAGATAAAAAGTCAGATAGCCCCTTCACTTCCTAGAATGTTAAACCGATTTTTAAATACGCAAATATTTTTTAATACAAATAATTCATTAACTGCTTAATTTTCAGGCTGTTGGTAGATCAAGTTATTTCTGAACTCAAAGGCTAACAGTCATCAGGTTGGCCCTGGTAGACATCTCCAAAGGTTTCCATTTCTACAAAACTTTTTACCTGTTTCCTGAACTCTCAGATAGTAAAAGATTTCCAGTGTTTTTCCGTAAGTGCTTTATGCTGTAAGTGCTTATACCAGATAATAAGAGTGCCATTTGGATGCAATAAATGTGAATAAATTTTATGACTAAATTAGGAGCTGTCTATAGATTTTAAAAAGGTTTTCAATTAAGTCATGGATACTACTGAAAGAAATTGAGATAATTTTTCATGATGTTGCCAAGAAAGAAAACTGCTTTACTACATACAACACGTCTGCTGTCACTGAGGTGGATGTTCACGGCTTTGACCTAGTATGGCAATTCCTAGGGTCTCAGCGCTGGGTGCTGTTTACAAGAAACTGAGGCCTGAGACTAATGAAGAACAAAGAAAAATACCTGGCACCAAAGGTTTTGGGAATCTTTTGCACATAAATGAAGATGTAAGGCGGTACATTGCCTCAGATTTTGGAAGGCAGTAAAAATCACTAATTGCTCACATGTTAAAAATGCTTATTTTGTGTTTTCGGATCATTTCCTAATCAGAAAATACCTTATAATCTACAAACAGCAATTTATTTTCTCCTACACTTTACTGACCAAGACTGGATAAAATTTCCTTATGGTTTACCAGAGAGTTAGAGGACTGGGAATAATGTGAACACAACCGAGTTCAGATGCAACATCAACTCGAAGCCCAGCCAGCTGGTTTCCATCGAGAGGTCCCCCAGGGGAAATCTCTATGAGGCGGCGGCCGGGTAGGCGCTGGAGTGAGACCCACCGAGGCGGCCCGTTTACCTTTGTTTCAGGTACTTCCATTCCCAGCCGGGCCGGGAACTCCGCCCGCGGCCCTAAGCTGGTGACACATCCTTCTTTGGCCAAGTCGGGCCAAGGCTGGGCAAGGGGCGGGGAAGGAAAATAAAGCCTCAGCGCTTAACGACGTGACTCTCAGTTCTTCCAAAACGCTGGCATTTGTTTCTCTGCCAAGCTTTCATGTTAACAAGTTCCCGGGGACTGTCCAGGCGAACTAGCCTAGGAGCCCCGAAAAGTGGGAGGGCCCAGGCCGACCCCCGCCTTCCTTCCAGCCTGGGCGCCCCCGGGGCAGGCGGTTTTCCACACCTCCCGGGCGATCGTGCTCCGGGAGCAAGTTGGGCTTGCCGAGGCGCCCGCACCGCCTCGAATCCCGATTTCCACGGCTCCGCCCGCTTCGCCAGCCCCGCGCGGTCACTAGACCCTCGGACCAGGCCGGTCCCCGCCCCCAGGCCGCGGCCCCGCCCGCTGCGCACCGCCCCCCGGCCTCACCACCCTCTGGGGCCGGGCCGGGGGCGCCAAGGGCTCCAGGCCCCGCCGCGGGTGTCCCCGAGCCTACCTCGGCGCCCACGGCTCCTCCTCCTGCTGCTGCCTTGACTGGCGGGCGGGACTCGCCGCCAGGACTTGCCGCGACGCGGGCTCTGGAGCTGCGAGTGCGGCGCGTGAGGAGCCGAGGCCCAAACGCGCCCCGCCCAGCCGCGGGCTGGCCTCCTCCTCCTGCCCACCCTCTGCCGAGCGCTCAGCTCCTCGCCTCGCCTCGCCCGCCAGGCTCCGCCCCCACACCGGTCGGAGCCCGGAAGGGGATCGCCAGGGGCATCGTGAGGGCCGCCGCAGTTGCAGCAGCTGTAATCCCGCCTTGGCGGCCCCGCGGGGAAGCGATTTATAGTGGGTATTGCTTTTTGGTGGATGTGGGTCTCTTGCTCCAATTTATTATTATATTATGTTAATATTGTTGTTTTTGAGGTTGTTACTGTTATCGTTATCTTGTTTTGTCCTCCACAAGGAGGCCTGGCCGGATGGTTGGCCCCTTTGAGACCGGAGGCGGTAGACTGGCGGCCCTCGCCTCTGACTGGACACTCGGGTCCGCTCCCAGCCGCTCTTCCAGCAGCTCGCACCTGCGCGCTATTTCTCTCAGCCCAACAACTTGTGTGAGTTTTGAAAAAAGAATACCATTTATTTTGAACTGTTGTTGTTAAGTGTAGGACATTTACAGAAAGCCATATAAAACAAGTGTGCATCTTAATAAATTATTCTGAGACGTACACCCTTATTACCACCGTACAAATTTAACACCGTATAAAATAGTCTGGGGTCGCCAAAAGTCAGAATCAACTCGAAGGCAACGGGTTTGTTTTTGTGGTTTTCTTAATGGTCTGGTTTAAAACAAAACAGCATAAAAACTTTACCAATAACGGAGAGAACGCAGCCTGGGAAGAGCCTCCCAAAATCTCCTGATTGCCACAGAAGCCCAAAGGCTACTTGCCCATAATCATGCCCTCTTCAAGAGCACGTTTTGAGAATGAAAATTTTCCCAGAATTAGTAACCCCAAGTATGCATGAGTGTATTTGGAAAATTGTTAATTAAGAAAATCATTAAATATATAACCATATAAATAATAAGTCAGGAAAGAGTGAAAAGCATGAGTAAGGAACACCTAGGAGTAGGGTATGGGGAGTATGGAAAGAGTTAAAAGTAGTCAGACTAAGGATTAGGTGGACTAGGTTTTAACAGAATTTCCAGAGTAAGAATGGCTAGAAAGAAAGGCCTGGTATCTACTTCTGAAAAGCAGCCAGTGAAAACCCTGTGGATCACAACAGTCCTATCTGCAGTTGATCATGGGAATGGGGTAGGACTGGTCAGAGTTCATTAGTACTTAAGACCGTGGTGAGTTGAGGGTGACTCCACAGCACCTAACAACAACAGGTAGGTTGTGAGGATAGATCCTGGACATCTGGGCTGTCCCCTAACATTATGACACCAGCACCTAGCACAACACCAGGCATACACCTATTGCACCCATTGCTGTCAAGTCTTTTGATTCATAGAAATTCTATATGACAGAATAGAACTGCCCCATAGGTTTTACAAGGGTGTATTATTTATGAAATCAGACTGCCACATCTTTCTCCCATGAAGTGGGCTGGTGAGTTCAAATGCTACCTTTTGGTTAACAGCTGAGTGCTTAACCACTGTACCACAACAGTTGGTGCGGCGTGTGTGTGTGTGTGTGTGTGTGTGTGTTTTCAGTAGGCTTTGCCTACTGAACAATTTCTCCCAAGGCTACTTCTTCCAGTAGTAAAGTAATGTGCTCTGCAAAGAGCTTTGATACCTTGGAAAGAGACCATCATACTTCTTTTCAGCTTTACAAAAGCCCTTCACAGGCAGGATGGTATCTTATTTAAGATGCTGAGCAATCCTGTGAGAAGGGCAGAGGAGGACAGAATGTCTTTGTAAAGGCCACAGTGCAACCATCCTGGAAGTTCATAGTGAAACCATGAAACAATTTCAATATTGCTGACCCTGCCAACCTGGATTCCTAGTTTGTCCTGACAATTTTATTGCCTGAGTTTTCACATTAGGATTGGTTAGGTGCCTTTGCCACACATTTATACACAGTACGACTTGAATTTATAAAGGACACAACACTTGAATGGAGATCTGATTTAATATGATGTAGTCAGCTTCTCTTATCATGAGCACCTTGGTGAATTGGGATTGGAAAGTTGCCAGTTTGTCTCCCTTTATTGAGCATTGCATCCCAGTGTCTTTGCTAAATGGTGGAAATATAAATAATGCAAAATAAATAAGACATAATCCTTGCTCTCAAGAGCCTCATGGTCTAATAAGGGAGAAAATTTTAAATATAAATAAATATCTAGCCTTGAACACACTTCTGCCAGGGCTAGAGAGAAACCAAAACCAAAACTAAACTCCCTGCCACTGAGTCAAATCCAGCTCATAGCAACCCCTCCTTGGGTTTCCGAGGCAGTATCTCTATGGAAGTAGATTGCCCAGTCTTCCTTCCAAGGAGTGACTGGTGAGTTTGAACCACCAGCCTTCTGGTTAGCAGTCAAAAGAACACCTGATTTTTTTAATTATGGAAAAATTAGAGAGATTGTGGCAAAAGTAGAGAGAATAGAATAATGAACTACCACATATGAATTATTCAGCTTCATCCATTATCATCTTGTGGCCAATTTGTTCCATCTGTACCACCACCTCCTTTTGAAGCAAACGAAAAGCAATAGCATATTGTTTCACCTTCAGATATTTCAGTATGTATCACTAAATGATAAGCTTTATTTAAAAATATATATGCATGTAACCACAAGATCATTACAACCTTTAAAAATTAACAGCTTCTTACATTCTAGCCAGTGTTCAGATTTTCCAATTTTCTCAAAAATGTTTTATATAGTTTATATTTAGTCAAATAAGGATCCAAACAAGATCCTCACATTGTGTTTGATTAATATCTCTTAAACCTTTTTCTTTTCTCCTTTTATATGTTGAAAAAATAGATTGTTCTTCTTGTGGAGTTTCCTACATTCTGCATTTTGCTGATTGCATTCTCACAGTGGTGTTTAACATGTTCCTCTATCTGTTATATTACCTACTGATCTAGAGATTTGAACAGATTTCTCACCCACTGCTGTCAAGTCAAATCTGACTCATAGTGACCCCTCCTTGGGTTTCTGAGGCAGTATCACCATGGAAGTAGATTGCCCAGTCTTCCTTCCAAGGAGTGGCTGGTAGGTTTGAACCTCTAGCCTTCTGGTTAGCGGTCAAATGCCTTAGGCACAGTGCCATCAGAGCTCCTGAACAGAGTTGTTGTTGTTGTTGTTGTTGTTATGTGCCGTCGAGTCGGACCCGACTCATAGCGACCCCTCCTTG